CGCGGGAACCCCCCCCCCCCCCCCTTTTTATAATTTATTTGAAGAGTCTAAGTTATTGTTTTTAGTAGTTGACATGATGCCTCAGAGACGATAGAGTTATTGATAGAGCTTGTATTGAACCCACAATATTCCTCTAATGGTGCTACATTTAGCAGCATTGCACCATTATTCTTCTATAGATTTCAGAGCTTAATGATTTTTAATGATTAAAACTAAACAAGTTATAAATTATTCATGTGGTGTTACTTTAGTTTTGTTGTGTTAGGTAGGTGAAAGTAATGCCAAAGATCACAAGAGAACTCAGCACATTAAAATAAGTTCAGTCAGGACCATTCTGTTTGATTGAGATTATTGTCGAGGTCCTGTAGAGGTATTTTGGCGGCAGGCTTTGCTCTGAAGGGTTCAGATTCTGAGCTGTCCACAAGCAAACCTCACTGAGGTTTGAAACCCCTGAAGCCTAATGCAATTACCAGAATTTTTTATAAGCAACAGATATAAAATTCCATGCAGAAGTGATACAGGTCCATAAATAAGACTGGACAATATTAAGCTGCCTCCATAAGGAGGAGTTGGGGATGGAGGGGGGCAATCGCATGTCCGTGCGAAAGACTAAGGCAAGTATGGATGAACTTATATATCTTATTTAATTGTAGTGGGAGGAGTTACAATCACACAAAACGCTAGTTCTAAAATAACTAATTACTGTTAGATACTGTTAAATAACTAACTACTAAACAACTGAAATGGCAATTATTTACTAAATTAAATTGCTCAGACATGATTTGCAACACTTTAATGCTTTTTATTTTACAATTTTTACACTTTTACAGTTTTGTACAGTGGAAGGCTTCATAACTGCTCTAATGGATGAATATCCCACAGTCCTGAGGAAGAGAAAGAAACTGTTCATCCTCATTGTCTGTATTATATCCTTTGTCATTGGTTTCTCCAACATCACCCAGGTAAAGATTACCACCTGAAGACCTTTCTGTTTTATTGTGTAGGACGATTGACTATTTTCTTGAGTTTCTAATAGTAATGTGTGTGTTCTTTGTTTTAGGGTGGCTTATATGTGTTTAAATTGTTTGACTACTATTCGGCCAGTGGAATGTGTCTCCTGTTCCTGGTCTTCTTTGAGACAATCTCCATTTCCTGGTTCTATGGTATATCTCCTATACTATGAACATATATTCGATGTAAATGTGAAGTGAAGTTTCTAAAACTAAACAGCTCAAGCTGACCTTCTTCCAGTTATGTTAAAGAAATAATATTGGTTAAATACAACTTAAATACTTCAACTGTAAGTGCATTATTTTAACTACTGGGTATTGTAACTACATACTGTGTTTACATTTATAAACTATTTTTTCAAGACAAAATTACTTGAAAATCTTTGACACTACTTGAAAACTGGAGGGAGTCATATGGGAATGTTAATATGCTGGGTTCCTGAATCCTGTCTAGTTCCAAGTATGTATTGGAAAAAGGGTTACTGATGGAAGAAGGAGCTCTTACTAGTAGATCTAGCTTGCTTGATCATTGTAGATATCCATCTCTTCTCTCTCTTTAGGCGCAGATAAATTCTATGAAAATATTGAAGATATGATTGGTTATCAGCCTTGTGGCTTTTGGAAATATTGCTGGATTTACTTTACTCCAATAATCTGCTTGGTAAGTACTTCATCTGCAAGCAATGATAATAAACTTAGAGACTATTATGGGCTGTGAACTTAACATGTTATTATTGTAAAAATTAATAAATAAATAATAATAATAATAATAATAATAATAATAATACATCTTTAAAAATAGTTTTCTAAGTTTTCTAATCAATCAATTAAAGGGGTCATTGGATGCAACATGCACGTTTACAAGTTGTTTGAACTGAAATGTGTGTTGGCAGTGTGTGTACACAACCACCCTAAAATGATAAAAATCCACCCAGTGTTTTTTTTTTTCTGCTCAAATCTTTACCCCTTTCTCAAATTGAGTCGATCTCAGATGCCTGTCTGTGTGACGTCACAAAAACAGGCCCCTCCCACGATAGTTTGATTGACAGTAGCGTTTCAGCACAGACTGGACTGGTGTCTTACCTGAAACCCACCCTGAGTGAGCTGTCATCAGTCCGCTATTGTTTCACCGCCGGAGCAGATGTAGACAAGAATGACTCCTAAGCGATTGAGGTGTTCTGTTGTTGGATGTAATAATGAACATAGCAGTCGTCATTTACTCCCGACATCTGAGCCGCTGTAGACGCAGTGGATTACGTTTGTTTTTGAAGGGAATGTGCCCCCGATCTACATAAATGCGCCTATGTTCGCGCAAATCATTCGTGATCCAGCTTCACCTAGAAGAAATGAGTATAAGGTTTTTTGAATGAATCTTTGCAAATCGCCTTTCCTAATAATGTGCTAATTAGCAAGTTTCACGATGAATGCGGCTAAAGTAAACAGTCTCTCTGAGAGCGGCTCGGAAGAGAGGGGTGGGGTCAGCAGAGCTCATTAGCATTTAATGGAAAATGCTACAAAACTGCGCGCTCTGAAAAGAGCTGTTTTTGACTGGGTAAAAAAGGTGTTTTTTACACTACCATTGAGAAGTTTTAACCAAACTATGTTACAGACTTTTTATTAAGACCCTAAAGAATCATATCAACTTGTTGTAAATGGGCATCCCATGACCCCTTTAATAATCAAAATAGCATGCAGTTTGTTTAATATAAAATGTCCTGACAGCCCCAAAGAGACAAAAATGTTTTGTCACTCCTTTTATCCTTTCATTCAACTGCATGAATTGAGTGATTGATTATCCAGTAAATGCCCATATCTTTAAAGTCACTGTAAAACTCAGATAATTGTTTCTAAACACATTACAAATGTTAGAAAATAATTGCTGCAAACACGTTACAAAGACTGTGAACTATCTAGTACTGAATTGTGGAGTAAGACCGTTGAACAGTTTTTCACCATTTCTGTGTTCAGGAATTTTTGGGTGGGCCTGAAAACATGTCTCGGTGATGCACTGGAGCCATTGAGCATGGCCCCTTCCCAAACACTGTAAGAGGTGTGTTCGACTTGAAGCATCGCTTATAGAGAGCTCTCTACTTTGATATTAAGCACTGATTGGTGTGCGCAGCACTGCTTAAAGTCGAACACACCAAATAACTAGAGTGCATTAGCATCAGTGGTTTGCCCACTCAGAATACAGCTTATTTTTTCAAGATTTTGATACCTTATTTTATTTGCTTACCCTTTTTTATTTTTAAATTTGGCTGGGTGGTTAATAATTTTTTTTGTTTTGTGTATGGTGTGACAAACTCTCATGTATTTACACATATTAATATTGCTTTACACAGACTTTAATGAACTGATGTTTGAAGTGACTTCTGTGTTTCCTGTTTGTAGAGTGTTTTCACATTCAGTGCAATAGAAATGACTCCTCTGACACTAGGGAAGTATGTGTACCCGACCTGGGGTCAGGGCATCGGCTGGTTAATGTCCCTCTCTTCCATGATTTTAATACCCGGTTACGTCATCTATATGTTCTTCTCTACCAAAGGCAGCATCCGACAGGCAAGACTGATTTTAATGTTTCTGATCTAACTTTTTTTTTGTCACAGTGTCCTTCCTGCCCTGCTTCCTTCCTTCCATCCTTTTGAATTTCCATACAGCTTCAAAATGTACTTCCTTATAAACTCCCTTTCTACTTCTTTCCGAACCTCCTTCCTTTTGAACTTGCAAACTTCCTTCTTTCCAAACAGGCAAACAAAATTCTGAATTTCAAAATGTATACACTCTTTCTAAACTTGAATAGTTCCTGCATTTTTTTTTCTTTATGAATTTCCAAACACATTTCTGAATATGTCAATGTACTTTCTAATAAACTTACTTCCTCCCTTTCCTCCTTCTTTTTGAAAACTTCTTGCAAACAAACCATTGAAAAGACTGTAAAGTTGTTGCCTTCTTTGCCTTCCTTATAAATCCCCTTCCTTGCCTACTTTCTTCAAAACTTCCTTTCTTCCAAACAAACGAGCCAACATCTTAATTTTCAAATGTATTCCCTTCCTTCTACACTTCATTCCTTCCTTCCTTTCTTCCAAACAAACTTGCAAACAACCCCTTGCAAGTCCTTTTTTTTTCTCGAATTAGCGTAGTTCCTGCCTTCTTTTCTTCTGAGCTTTCAAACATACTTCTGAAGTTCCAAATGTACTTTGTTCCTTATAAAAACCCCTTCCTTCCTACTTCATTCCAAAATTATTTTAAAACTTCCTTCCAAACCAACTTTCATACAAACTTCTGAATATTGAAATGTACTTCCTTCCTTCCTTCCTTCTGAAAGCACTTTCAAACTTGCATGTTTCTTTCCTGAACTTCCTTTGAAATTTTCTTTCTTCCAAAACAAGCTTGCAAACAAATGTCTGAATATTCAAATTTATTTTTCCCTAATAAACTTACCTGTCTTCCTTTCCTCATTCCTTCCAAACAAACATTTGTATAGTTCTTTCTTTCTTTCGCACGTCCAGACAAACTTCTGAAGTTCCACATGTACTTCATTTGTTCTAAACTTGCTTTTTTACAAACTTGCAACCAAACGAAGGTCGGTCCTTTCAAACTTGCATACTTCCTGCCTTCTGAAATAACAAATGTACTCCCAAATGAACTTACTTTCTACTAAACTTCCTTCCCTCTTTCCTCCTTCCTCCTAAACAAAATTGCAAGCAAACTTCCTTCATTGACTATTGTTTTTTCCTCAGCGTTGGCATAAGATGACCAAACCCACTGAGCTCACAACCTCGGAAACCAATGATCCCACACAACAATCCACACAGACATCAAGTACAGATGAAGCTTCTGTCTGAGATCGTACAATGGACATTAAAGACCTCCATTCCATACTTTTTGTCTCTTGGAGAGTCTACAACAGATGGAAGTGGACTATGTTCATGTGCATCTGACTGTTTTTCTCCCATTTTATTTCCGTACATGCCTCTCTGATGTTGCATAATGTAATGTGAGGGGCTGCAGTACTTGTGTCTGTCTTCAGTGGAGAATGCAATTTCAGTGACTGACAATTTCAGTGATCAGTATAAATCTAGATCCAGTCCAGACAGTTGATTGGAAGGTCTACATAACTGTTGCATACCTGTTTTATATGAAATTTCTCACAGTATTTACCTCAAGAGGGTGAGTGAATGCATGTGTTTAGTGGTCTGTTTCTCTTGGTTTCAGCATTATAGTGGCTAATTTTGAAGGCCACGTATGATTGTTCTTGATTGAACTAAATTCACTACAGAAGATTTTAGGTTCAAACTTTGTATTAATGTATAAAATGGGTATATTTTAGAACATTACCATTTCACCATTTTAACATTCAGTATTTATGTTAAAGTCTAGTAAGAACTAAGTGATGCTAATGAACATAATTTAACTATTTCTGAGCAGGCTTGTAAATACATGTTGTTAGTATTATTTAAATATTGACATACACTATAATAGACAATGTTACAGCAGCCAACATATTTAATTTTAAACAAGGCTATGGGAATTAGCACAGTCTGTTCATTCCATTCGACTCTCAATTATTCAGTCAACAAAAAATTAGTCATGACTTTAAAGGCCTGACAGCATATATATTTATGTATCTTCTCTGAACGTCTATATCCAGTGTTACCAAAGCTACAAAGGGGACTTTTATTTTGAGGATGCTATTTGTAGAGATTTTGTGAATTGGTTACAAATTCAATAAAGAAAAAAAAACTGATGCTTCAACATATACACATTAATAGAGCTATATAGATAGATGTCATTCAGCCATGTAGTTTAAAGGTTAGTGATTTGAAAATATTAGTAATTGATAAGAATGTCTTGAGAGGAATGGTCTTACTTTATTCTTGCATACTTTGACAAACACTAACAATCCAGTAGGGCATAGCAGCAGTATAAAAACCAAAAGCAATATGCACAGTGATATTGTATTACTGCCTTCTATTTCAGCAGCTGCTCTGACAGCAAGAAGTAGATACTATAAGTTAGCTGACCTCTGTTAGTGACCTTTGACCTGTGTTGATCCATAGCTCTGCATTAAAGTTGAAAAAGGCTCTTATCATGTGCTGATACAACAAACCACTCATGTCAGTCTGAAAAGGACATCAAATAAATAGCCAGACCACTCATGTAGGTCTGGAATAGACAGAAAACATGTTTATTAACGTGTAAATCTACAATATAGATAGAGTAAAACTCACAGTTGGACTGCCTTTCAAAGACATAATTTGCTAACACACACAATAACTTTCTGTCAAAATTAGTGCTAATAAATGTTGATGTTATACTGCCTTCAAGTTCTTCTGGGAGTTCTGAAATCATAAGTACAATATGATGTGTGTTCAAGTGATTTTGTTCAGAATAAAATGGGCCTTTCAAGATTTTTTTTCTTTTTCTTCTTCCTGTCTTCACTACTCCTACAAAACAAAGGTGAAAGGATGCACATTAGTGTGTAAATGCTGCCTGATCCATGTATTTTATCCATGGCTTTATCTCACATGAATCTCAAAAACTAGCTAAATGAGTCGTATTTTCATCAACAACACATTAACAAGTTTAGCGTACAAACTAATGATGATTACAATATTGTGGTGCCATTCTTTTGCACTCATCTCATAAATATCATCATTCTGACAGGACTTGAAGGCAGCATAACACACCAGTGCAACAGCCCTTCTGCAGGCTAAACCAAGGTTAGTGTTAGCATCGTAGCCTTTGGTTGTGTGAAGGGCTTTAATTCAACACTGTTCTGTTTACTTCTGTTGGGTAAGATCACATCTCATTTGCTAGCCAGGGCACATTCGCTCAAGCATAATAAATTCCTCAAAAACAGGGTCATGCACAATTTATCTGGCTTCCTGTTTCCATCACCTCCACGCCAACTCCCACAGGGGCCAAATGCAAGGCTACGGAAAGAGAAAGACAAAAAGTGAACTCCCGTCACTCCGTATTTCATAGAAAGGAATCTAGCGCTGATTCTTTCACCATTTTTGGAGCTGGTTGTGCAATTCACCTATGTTTATTCTCCAGACTAAGCTGCTGTTGAAATTTTTGATAAAGGAGAATAATAGATCTCTGTGACAGTTGGCTGTTATTCCAAGGCTGAATCTGTAAAATATTCTGTCATAATTTACACACCGTCATGTTGTGTTTGCTATTATTTTGTATGCAGGAGATATTTTGAAGAATATTCACAATGACCTTTCTGATACAATTGTGTAGACACCAACAGAAGCTCATTGGGAAAATGTGCTTCTATGTACAATTAACTGCAGTTTTCAGCTAAAATGAACACCAGTGTCAGTAAAACCCCAACAACTTTCATTCCTTTTCACCAAAATTATTACGGGCACATTATAGACTAAAAAAGACTTATTTGTGTGGTTCTTTGCGCATTTTCTCTACTATGTTAAACACAAGCCACGACATGTTACTCATGTTTGAATACTATCGGTTCACTTTTGAGTACGTTTTTGTGTAGGTGGTACGCAATGCAACAAAATCATTAAACGTTTAGCACCACTCACCAGACATTCCATTTCCAAACTGCAGAAATACAACCAATGTAATGAACATGATTGTGCCAACAGTTTATTACATTGGTTGTAACAGTTTATTACAACCAATGTAATAAACTGTTGGCACAATCATGTTCATCTGTTTTGGAGAAAATTGAACATGCTGGACATTTTACTTTAAAAGTTACATGAAACGCCCAAAGACGCAACATAGCATAATTTTCCAGAAATGTGGTCACATGTACATTTTCCCAATTAGCCTGGATTGATGAAAACGGAAATAAAGTCACAATTATTGAGAGATATAAAGTAACAACTGTGTGACAAAGTCACAGTTACATTTTATTTTTTTGTTGTAATTATTATTCTGACACAACAACAGGGTTTGATATGAACAAAATTAAATAATGACAGAATTTCCATTTTGGAATGACCTAAAACTAAAATGACCTTTAACTAAAAGAATGCACTATTCATTCATTGAGAATTAATTGGAGCAGATATTAAGAAGAGGGGACAATTTGCTGATGTCCAGGTTGTGCAATAAACTCATGTGTTTAGTTTCACACCAATATATAGTATATGAAAGATCTGGTGATCGTCATCCCAATTCATCCCTATACATGGAATTAAAGACACAATGAGAAGAGGAAATGAAGATCAGATTGGGAGCTCCAAACAGCAGCAATATAATTATGAAACAAACACACAATCATATAAGAAAACAGAGGAAATAGGACACACAGCTACCTATAACACATCAATGGTGTTACAATAAATAATACAGCTTAAAGTCAACATGAAATCCAGTTAATACACATTCCTGGCTTTTGTGCCTCTGAAATGACTTTCTTTTCCCCAGATAATATCACCACGGTTGCAAGGGGCAACAGCCAAATAGCTATCGAGGGTGAATTTCACCTTTAGCCTCCATGTCCCTTGGAGTGCTGGCAAACCCAAATTTATGTCTGGCTTCATTATTCCATTCACTTTTCATGATCCAATCCAATTTTTCGTCCTGGATTTTTCTTTAAATATTATTTTTCACTTTACACATCTTTAACACATCACATTGTGGAAGCAAAACAGGTGGTGAATTATGCTTCATGTTGACTTTAAATGTTTATGTTGATGACAACCTTTATCAGAAATGGTGGGTAGTTAACATGTATCGGTGCTAATTCATTTCTGCTTTATATGCTGATATATGATAGCTACATACAAGCAAAACAAAAATAAACCATTGATCGTTTTCCATTCGGCTGATAAAATCAGATCAAGCCAGACAAACATTCAGGCTAAAGTGTTTTGTGCCAACAATGTGCATCTCAGTTGATGTTTCAAGTGTCACTCAAGTCTCTCGAAAAGCTTCAGACAAGAGTTTTAGGAGTCAAACGGCAGAGATAGGTTTGATGGTGCTGAAGGGTGTCTCTTGGGCGCTTTATATAGCTGCGAATATTGATGAAGGAATAACACTATGAGACCATGTTACATTGTCTGAGTCATGTGATGACAGTGACGTAACATTCTGTCAGACAAACAGACATTGTCCAAAGATGGTTGCTGGGATCAAATGGCCTTTTCACAAGGGCCTTATATGTTCCAAGTTGCTACATAAAGTTCAAGTACAAGCATTAAAAGATCTCCATCTTCTTTCAGGTACTCTCTGAAATTCCTGAGCATGAGAACTATAGCCATTCGCTGGCTGTGATTGGCTCTTTTTTCCGTCATTGAGCCGTGATACGTTGCCACACATAAAAGGTCCTTTCACATGACTCGTGTCAGGGCTTTAACACAACCCTCTATGAACTTTGACCTTCAAAGGCAAAAGCATTTTTTACGAAGTTGCTAGGTAGTAAATACGCAGTGAAAGCCAACGGAAGAGGTAACACATATTTGAGCTTTAAACAGGATAAAAGTCCCACTGTTTGCACCGCTACATCATAGAAACATTGCTGGCACTTCAGAAATTCCGCTACACAGTTAGCACAATGCCGATATTTCAGCAACAAAAACCTCGCATTCACAAACCACCCAAAATCCAGTTTAAATGCACACTAAATGTGCTGGTCAAGTGCCATGTGCATTTAAATTAATTAAATTGTGTTTGTCTCATGTTCATGCTATTTGCTTGCAACTCTACATTTTTTAGAGATCACGGCAGCCATGCATTTTCAAATAATGATCAAACGATGGAGAAGAGTTGACTTCAGTCAACTGAAGTCAAGCCACTGGATCACAGTGGTGAAGCAACACTGTACTGTCCTAATAAAGCATACCATATTGTGGAAGTCTGCTGGAATTAATGTATCAGGTACTAAAACAATAAAGAAAGCACATGCAAATAAATAGTGCTATATTTGGACACCAATAGCAAATTATGTTATCTTGTAGAACATTTCTTGTTTTCATTTTTGCATTGGCACTGCTCACATGATAAGCCATGATAAGTCTGCTAATCGTTGGTTATGTTTAAAAAGATCAGAAGCCGATCAAAACTGAAATCATCCTAATTTTGCTAGGCGCATTGCAGTATTTGACTTGAATGTTGACACAAGTCATGTGAAAGAACCTTAATACTTTCTACATTCTCAATTTACACACATATATCAGTTAAAAGGAGTGACATAAAAGACATTTTCAAAGACAGGTGATAATTAGGAAGTAATTCACATTTCACAGGAATACAACATCACCACATAAGAAGTGGGGGATGAAACATTTTGTGGCTAATGGTATCATTTATAAGTTTTTTTTTTCTTCTTCTTTTTTTTAACGTCTGTCTACATAGAGGGAATCTAAATGATCGTTGATTTAAGCATATGTTTGCTCTAGCCCTAAGCGTTCAACAGTGCAAAAAGTCCATGGAGGAGGGAGTCCTCATTTTGGCACATATATCATTTTCCAGTCGAAAGCATACACACACACTAAATAGACTCATCAGTAGGATAATAAAAGCCAAAAAGGGTGATTTTACACATAAAACCAGCTCCTGCACAAAAACAAGTGTCGGTGGAATTGAAACCAATGTTGTCGGGTGTCACATTATTTCGTGAAATCATTTTGTTTATAACAAAATGCACCAGAGAAATCCTGTCAAGAACAAGTACTCAACGATATAACCTCAGAGCACGTCCAGAAAGACGAGAACTGTTATATAAATTTGATAAAACTACATAACGTTTCAAAATACACAGCAATTAGGTAAATCGTATTTTCGTATTGGTTGTTTCACATATCTGCAAAGTCAATAAATTCTTACCTTAAATATATGCATATTAATAAAGTTTTTTCATTATATTTCTTTCATGTATATACATATGTAGATAAATACTGTCAAAAGTGCGCCTGGAGTGTTTTATAGTTATTGGTTTGAACTCTATATAAGGCTACGAGAGCCACTTGGGGTTCTCTGCAGTGCAAGGCGGGGATCTGGGGGTATATACTGGTGAGGGTGATTATATGGTGGTGGCGGTGGAGGCAAAGGCGGTTGTGAGCCATCGTTCCCCCCATGGTTGACTCCGTCATCAGGTGAGTGCACTGGTGTGGAGACGACAGACTGGATGAGCTGGTGATGAGTGGGGCTCTGGCTAAGGAACGCCTCCATGCGTCCGTGACTGCCTTTGTCCAAGACGATGACCTTGACGATTTGCTGGCACTGGATGAGCGTGTCGGGTCGTATCTCGGCCAGGGCCATGGGCTGGTAGGAGTGTGAGGGTGTGGGGCTGGCGCATTGCAACGGAGGCTGCTGGAAGAGCTCTCTCTGGTGGTTGAGAAGGGCATTGCGCTCAGGGCTCTGAGGTGCCACGTTGAGCTGGTACGTCTGAAGCCTGTTGTGAATTGACACCTAGTTTAGAAAACAGTCAGAGATAGCATCATATGTTATAAGACTGTTCTCCTTCTACGGCCATCAGCCCTCCGGTGAACACACATCACAATAGACATGCGCAAAGTGTTACGTGTGGACATGGCACAAGGGGTTTGCTTGGTGTCTTGCGACTCGGACAGAGGGTGGGAAGCTGGAATCGGGTTGCAGATGTGGAGGGTTTTGGGGACCGTGTGTTTGTGTATTTAAAGTGTGTGGTGGTTACACAGGACACTGAGGGCCCCTGTGTCTCCCTTGGAAACCACTAGAGCATTATGGGAATAGAGAATGAACAACACTTCAGGAAAGAAGGGGGACAAGAAAGGGTGGGACAGGTTAAACAATGGGAAGGGGGTAATTGGACAACTACAGACAGCACACATCCGAATGCATGCCATCAATATTTCTCATACTTAAGGTTCGGGACTTAAATAGGAGTTTGCCTGGATTTGCAAACAATTCTCTCTCACTCTTCCTATTTGTCTACTGGGCTCTAATAAAGGCATGTATTCACAATTATCTGTAGGATACTTCCACTGCCCCTGGGATTGATGACTTTGAGGAGTGATGAACATACAGTAGTTCATAGTTCAAAGTGAATTAATCTAGCTTGGTCTCAGGATAGATACTGGCTCTTGAGGGTTGGCTTGATGGCTAAAGTGAGGGCACTTGCCTCTGAATTAGTCTTCTTGACTGTTAGACACATTTACTGACAGTGCACCACTTTGTCTGAGAACAGAGGCTGTGGAGGTAAAAAAAAAAAAAAAGGAAAAAAAAAGGAAAACTATTATTTTTCTCGACAGGGAAATATATATATCTTTTTTTTTTTTTTACAATAATTAATAAGTTATCTACTATGAGTTCTGAGGTTGTTAATCCTAAAGCGAGGAGACAGTTGCATATGCATTTGTAGGAGTTTCCCTTTCAGAAGCAAAATGTATGGTTTAAATAAATCATGCAATGTACTTTTGTACTTACTAAGATTTGTGGCTGTCAATTTACTGGTATTTGCAAAAAAAAATGTAATGCCCAAAAAAAGCTTGTATGTCTTAACCCATTTTGCGCCTTTGTTGTTGATAAATTACCGCACTTGATTATCATCTCTGCTTGTTTGCGACTCTATGCTAATTTGTGCTGCTTATAGTAGATTGTGTTAGTCATTATGGAAATGATCTGGCTGCGCCTGTATGCTTTAATGTGCACATTGTCAGTAGATTGACCGCAAAACTTTCCATTCCCATTTCCATTTTTCACTTTATGAAAAAAAAAAAATCTTTTTTTTTCAAAACGAATAACTCAATTTACATACTGTTCATCTTACTGTAATTAATAAACATGAATAAACCATTGCACTCATTTAAATTGAAGCTATTGTTATCCTTTTCAGTGTTTTAATACATTTTTTGAATAGATTATCATATATCAAGTGCAATTTCCTTTTATCAAATGTTATAATTTGCCAATTGTTGGTTGAAGCTTTCAACATTTCAAACGTATTTGAGGATTCCATAAAGCCCTGAAAACCACTAAGATATTAACATTAAATAAATATTTTATGTACATTCAGAAAAGAATATGAAAATATATGCATAACATTTTCATGACAATACTTGAGGGTATGATTAGTTCAGGATTATGTAATGTTATATGATAAAATGTTATTTTCAGTCAGTTATAATGCAACTGTCATTGCACAAACATTTGGGCATATTCCAAATGTGACATATGAATATATGTCAAGAATATATGAATATTAGAATATAGGTAAAGCTTTTTTTTAAGTGCAAAAACCTGAAAAATGCCATATACTGCAAACTGCTGTTAAATTATGAAATATGAATGCATTCTATATAAAAGTGACTATGCTGAAGCTCAACAACCCTCCAACACGCTTGCCATATCTTTTCTCTTTCTTCTCAATGTTTGTGTCCATCTTAGCACACTTTTCAGGTCATATCCATCTCAGCCTTACATCCACTGTCTAGCTAACATGTGCCAATCACTGCCATGCATAACAGCTAAAACATGTTTTAAAATTTATTACGCCAATATTGCCGTGTTTAAACTGGCAGGTGGCTCAACTAGTCTGTAGCAGTTGGACACCTTGTTTCTCTTTCTCTTTCCCTCTCTCCTCCAGGATATGGCTGGCGTTTCCCCTGACCCCTCTGCTGCCTGCGATGTGTTCTGACAGTTCATGTCCTTCAGGGGTTCACAGGGTGCTGACAGTTACATGTGGCATGATTAAGGTGAGGGTTTTCAGTGCCAGACAGGAAGTCGCTGCCACTCTGATCATGTTCAGGCTAATAACAGCCCAATAAAGCGCTACATCTAATGCTAGCAGAAATGGAAATATGCCTGTTAAACAGAACATGCAGACAGGGCTGGTGGATTTAGAACTTTTTTTTTTTATAACACTTTATTTAAACAGCCAATTCTCACTATTAACGAGTTGCTTAAAAAGCACATATTAAAGGGGTCATATGATGTTGCTAAAAAGAACATTATTTTGTGTATTTGGTGTAATGAAATGTTTATGCGGTTTAAGGTTAACAAAAACATTATTTTCCACATACTGTACATTATTGTTTCTCCTCTATGCCCCGCCTTTTTGAAACGCGTCAATTTTTACAAAGCTCATCGGTCTGAAAAAGCGAGGTGTGCTGTGATTGGCCAGCTATCCAGTGCGTTGTGATTGGCCGAATACCTCAAGCGTGTGACGGAAATGTTACGCTCCTACTATACTGTGGTGCCCTGTCCGGCCGGAGCGACAGACACATAAACATTAAAACCCATTATAAACGAGGCATTTGTTGCATCCAGTGGGGACATAATTACGGATTATAATGACTTATACTGTCTTTTTACGTGTTGCGTTGCATCGCGCCGCGTAAACATAAAACCATGTCTGCATTTGTGATCAGAGAAATGACAAACAACAAGCGCTACTCTACACTGCTCAAAACTCACGTTTGAATCATCAGTGGCAAATTCTTTAAATATTTAAACGTACTTATAGTCTGTGAGTCAGAACAGCCGGCATTGTAGTCTACTCTACCAGGATCAGGAAACAGTCCTCCATAAAATGCGCTGCACACATCTGAATATTTGGGTTGAACTGTTCTGGAGCAGTGTTGTAAATACAATTTAACCACTGATTTCTAGTTCTGTCCTTTTTTGGAAGGCCAAACAAAGTAGTTTCACTTTCATAACCAAACACACAGCATCACACACAGCGGGCTAGAGTGAGCGGCGGCCGGGGGGTAGCATGAGGAACGGCCAGTGGGCTTGAGAGAGCGGATTTGACGAAGGAGCGGCCGGCGGCCTTGCGGCAACCACATGTGACAACCCCGGGGTGGACTCCGCTTCGTCCACGGTGAAAGCCGATCCGGTGATCCACAGCACGAAGTTGATGTATTTCCTCAGCGACCAGCACGGATCAGCTCCAGGCATGACGAAGCGGATATCGTCCTCTTTTGGAAGACCAAACAAAGTAGTTTCGCTGGGGGTTGTGGCAACAACAATACTACAGCGAGAATAAAAGTTACGCCTTCTTTCTTTGCGTGAACATTTGGGCGGCGGTATGCAAATCTTCCCACATCATGACATAGACATGTGGGGGCGTGTTAGAACGAGGCGTTTTAGGTAGGCGTGGTTGACTTTTAACTTTTATAAAGAATATCTCTTTGGATTTGACTTTAGTCTTTGCAACTTTACAGATCATCTTTTATACACCAAGAGCTTGTAACACTCCAAAGAGAAAGGAAAAATTGAAATCGCATCATATGACCCCTTTAATGCCTTTAATAATAATAATAATAATAATGTTTGTACAGTATGTAGTATACATTTTCCTAAATAATAATAATAATTGTTTTTCTGATGAAGTGATGAAACTAGATAGATAGATACGTTTTTTCAAGTTGAAATAGTTTTCAAGTTTTCATTTAATATTTATATTTGACTTTATTTCAGCTTCATTCCAATTTACAAAAAATATTATTAACAGATTTAGTTATCAATAACAATGCTGTTTGGTGTCTTTACTAAGACAAACGCTGTCAGAAAACATCCATTAGTGACAGATCTTTCATTTACTTGGCACTATTTTAATCTTTTTGGTCTGCTTTCTTTCTTTCTTTCTTTCTTTCTTTCTTTCTTTCTGAATGTCTGTCCATTTACTTTACTTTACTTTAAATTGTACTGATTCCTAATAAAAAAGTTCAACAACCAATTTGGCTCCCTTTCATTTACAGGTCTATAGCAATTTGCTACTTTCTGAGTGTCAGTTTTGAACTCTCAATACTGAAATATCTGTGTAAGCATTCCCACAACTTCCATTTGACACTGCATGAGCTCTATTTAGGTTCTAAGACTTGTGGGCATGAAATGAAAGCTGTCATGTCTCACACAGAAGCAAGTGCATCTGTTTGAATAAAGTGCACCGACCCAGTGCCTGTTTGCCATTGTGTCCTTGAATTCCCTCAGGAGCTGTTACCTCATGATGCTAATCGCACGGCCCTCTGGGTAATGTATTTTATGTAGGGTTTGTCTTTAATCCCACTGAAGAGAGGTGATGATGCTGCATCAGATTAATGTTAGAGTTCACTGGGGCTTGTTCTTGTGGATGTCACAGTGGAAAATTTGAACGTCTGCTACCTGAGTCTGGGTTTGCAATTAAATAATCTATTTACTTAATGTTTCTTGTCTTCCCTTTTGAAAAACAAGTGCACTTAATTGTATTGAAGTACAATTTTTTAAATATAACAACAAAAAACATAATATAATTTTAAAAATCTGCAGATAATATAATATTAAAGAAATGAAAGGCCACTTAAGCATACTTTAAGAGGGTACACTTTCATGACGGTTTCTTAACATAAATAAAAAAAATGGAAATTTGTAATAATGTAAAATTAAAGTTATACTTTAAAGTACATTTGAAAAAAAAGTTTTAGTAATCTTTTGTCATGCTTTTCATTTCGAACACAATATAACTAATTACGAAATTATAAATAATGATACACTTAAGCCCTACTTAAAAGCCCCCAAAACATTCTACATTTAATTGCAGTAAATCTAAATTTAAACTGTAATATTTATATAATTGCAATTAACATGCAATTAAGAATATGAATACATTACATTCAGTTCAGACTGAAGTATTTTTTAAAGTATATTATTTGCATAATAAGTACTCATTTAAAAAAAAAATTCACAAGGGTTATTGAGAATATTTCATCATTGCACATTATTCCAAAGGAAAAACAATTTGTGTGTGTGTGTGTGTATATATATATAGAGAGAGCAAAAAAAATAGTTATGCTCTAAAACAACTTTGTGATGTCATGTTTCAAACATTTAAGTTTTCAAGTTTTTCATGTTTCATAAAAAATAAATGAATGCAAAAATGTCATATGATTTTAGTAGTACCACAGTAGTGTTTTAGATTATTCCTTAAGTTCATTCATCAAAAGTTTATTAACTTTTTCAAAGTTAATTTTAAAGTTGATATGGTGAGTGCAGCATGCATAAGTACATAGATTAACAATTATAGGAACTGCATTTCATATAATACAGCATGTAATTTATTATATCACTATGTATATTATAGAATAAGTATTTTTATTTTTATATTTTAATTTTAGTTAGTAAGTTGTGCTGTTGTTATTTGTATTATTATATTATTATTTTTATTTCTATTTAGCTTTAATTTTATTTTATTTCACTCATAGTTTTAGTCATTTTAGTACGTTTTTTTATTTAAATGTTTTCATGCAATATTTATATTTTGTTTTATTACAGGTTTATTTCAAATAACAAATTATTTTTAACCATTTTAATTTTAATCAGTAACAACTCATTTTATGCATACGTTCACACAAACAAAGAGTCATCTTTGTCAGATTATTGAGTTGTTTGCATAGCGTTTAAATTTGGACTTTAATTAAATATTCCCTTTCTAAGTACTACCAAAAATACGGAAAGCTTACATAACTTGAATTTCTTCTTTCTTCTATCCACTGACTGCTAAACTTTTTTTTTTCTGATCAAACGTGTATAAAAATATTTGTTTTGATAATTCTGTTAAAATTCTCCTCCACACTGCAGTGTTAATTTAACAAGAGGGGGCAACAGTGCGCAGATGAGTTTTACCTCCAGGGGGCTGCTGTCGACATTGGGTTTGGCGGCGATAACTTTTCGAATGACTTTAGGGGAAGTGGAAGGTCATCTGGTTGAGGACACTGTGTTTTCACTCTAGCAGGAACATATGGCTGTTGTAGCTTGTTAATTCCTGTTCACTAGTTCTGTGTGTCCTATAAGCTGTAAACTACTGATGGATGCTAGGGGTCTGTAGGGACTTACCTGCGAGAACACTGAGCTCTTACCTCTACAGCATTGTGTCCGCTCTGTGACGGGTTCATTTCCTGTTTGCCTGAGCAAAGAAAACAGTCCAAATCAGACTAAAGATTAAAGGATGGTTGAATATGCATTAAAATAATAATGATAATAATAATAAATAAGTTTTCATAGTTTTCAATTTGGGATGAAATGGAAGTATATTCATTCTATCCTCCATGCATATTTAATGATTTCCCCACTAGCTTATTGCGTTGCCAGCAGCCAACTATTGAGAGGCAAAATATTGAGAGACAAATATATAAAAAACATAGAGGTTGCTTTCCATTATTGGTTTTTATTTTTACTTTATTTATTTATTTATTTTTTTTATATTTATAGTTCTGTAGTTTTAGTGCTAGCTGATATAGGATATTTTTTTTAATATTACATAAAGCACATTTAAACCTCCCGATATCAGCTAATAACAGTTAAATATAAGAATTTAAGATTAAATGTAAGATTATTCTAAGAATTAAAATAGTGAGTTACTATTAAGAATGATTTTTTTATTTCTGCTTTTTATTATTTGTTATTATTATTATTATATATATATATATATATATATATATATATATATATACTATTTATACTATATTAAGCTATTTAAACGCGAAGGAAAGTGAGGAAAAGAGGGAAAATTCTAACGAACAATTGCTTTACTCCGAATTGCCGCTATTTGAAAGTGAAAGTAAAATGCGTACTCCGCTTTTACAAGCTAAGGTAAGCCAGGGAAAGAGGGAACGCCCCCGCGGTGATACCGGTGTTGTCACACATCGATGAACCGGTGGGAAAATTTCCTCACGTCACAACCCTAGTTACAATTTGAAAAAAGTTCAGCTTTTAAAAATGTTTCAGGACCCCTTTGTCCTTTTCCATTCCTTTTCATACCATCTCTCTTTAATGAATTCAATAATGCATACTGTATGTATGTGTCCTAAAAAAAAAAAAATGTCAAGCAACTTAACTTGAAACTGATACTGAACTTTTTCGATGATATTTTGACATTTGCTGTATAGTAGAGACCTGCGCCCGCCCGCTCCCGCAGAAATATATCTTATCTGGTCCCGCTCCCGCCCGCGATATTCATGTTTTGTCCCGCTCCCGCCCCGCAAAAGCCCGCATAAAAGTAATCTATATAGACTTTTTCAGTACATCGAAGAAATTTACATGAAATGGTTCTGTAACATCTCCTAAACTCCACAACATCCCAGCATAAACACTCCCGATAAAATATTTGTTATTTAGGCTAAGCATCAACATTCACAAACCACTGTTATTTTTAACAGAAAAGCAAGCATTGGCTGCTGCGTGCATGGTTTGGCATGGCAGAATGCGAGCAGCGCTTCCTTTATTATCACTAAAAGCTGACATCTCAGTTAATCTCTATCTCATAATAGATATAACACAATAAATGTTATAACACAATAAATGTATGCACAATGAATCTTTCACAGTGTCTACACTTCATGTGTTAAAATGAGAGGATTCGTGAGCATGCAATTTCAGCACTGTGGTGAGTAGATTGCAACTTAATCACCTCTGGTTGGCCATTGCATTCTGCGCCACTGGAGCTGATGTTTCACAGCCACTTTTTACTAAATCTAAATATACACCCCGTATTTTTTTATTCCATAGTAAGGGCAATTCATACAATACATTTAAACTGAGCTACTTTAATACCATCTCCAAACTTTCTACCACGACTCTGCTGTTCTTCGGCTGGTTCTTCCTGTATACGTTGATTGACAGATGTCTCGTCCAGTCAGTGGTGAGTAATCCCAAACCAATGGTGCTGTCTCAAACTATACCTACCTTTTCAGGTTGGTCTGAATTGTCGTTGTGTTTTCTGACTTGTTATAATGTTTTCTGAATTGTTGTTGTGTTTTCTGAATTGTTATTTTGTTTTTTAGACTTGCATTTGCGTTTGTAATTTGTTCTTTTGTTTTCAGAATTGTGATTTGTTCTGCACTTCTCGGTCACTGTACTAAACAGATGTTGAATGCAAAAATCGTATGAAATCCAGCAGATAAATGTGTGTCTGAGTGTATTTGTTGTAAAGTACCTGAAGGAGAACCTTGTCTTCCCCTCAGTTCAAGCTGAGTCCCGTTGTTTTTGATGCAGTGAGATTTGGCTCCCTGTTGTTTCTCCAACTCCCCTAAAAAGACAGTGAAAAGAGACCAGGAGAGCTTTAGGTCAATGCCACACACACACACACAAAACAGCTACACACATACAACAGCATGCTCACATCCTCTAAACCTTGAGTCGTCCGTCTCTAAACAGCAGAGCTCCAAATCACCATACTTACACTCAGGGCTTGATGATAATTGCCTGGCATTTCTAATCAGGCTACTCTCATCCAACAGAATTGTAAGAAAGCTCTGTCTCTACATTAGGACTCCTTAAGAGGAAATATGCCTTCTGACTTAATGAAGCCATAAGAAAGGACTAAGCCTTGATAAAAACCTTTGAGTGCACAAAGAATAGCTGACAACCAATCATCCGGATACTAAAGCACAGCATGCTACCTAATTAAACATATTTATTACAGTACTAAATTCAAGGATAATAGGAGGGAAAAATGTGTCCTCTTTTATTCCAGAGAATTGAAAAGGTATGCAGACAAGTGGAAATAAAATATAGCACATTTAATAATAAGGGTGTTTAATACACAAAAAATATTGATACTTCTGTTGATTTATTGAAAGAAAGAAACAAAAATATTTTCAACAAATTTTTCATGTAATGACAATGAAAACATCAAGTCAAAACCAATATAATTATGTCTTTAACACATAAATTCAGTGTGATTCATTTAAAAAAATAAGTAAAATTAATGCAATTATTCTTACTACTACTTTTACTTTTTTAATGATTTTAAATAGAATGTTGGTTTTCATGTTGATTCACGAGTTACACCATTTTTCATTGATAATATTAATAATAATAATGTTTAAAATAATGAAATAAAATATTTATACATCTAGTTTAAGTTGTTGAAATTGCATTTTAGGTAACACTTTATTTCCACTTTAGACATTCTATTAACAGTAAGTAACTTTGCAACTACATGTCAACTAGCAGTTAGTAGAGTATTAGTAGACTGTCTGCTCAATATCTTCTAACACTTTGTCAACTTATTCTACTAACCCTAAACCTACCCTAACAGTCTACTCTGAGAGTTAGTAGACATGTAGTTGCAAATTAATGAGAATTAGTTGACGTAGTTGACATGTAGTTACAAAGTTACTTACAGTTAGTAGAATGTCTAAAGTGGACTATCGAAATAAAGTGTAACCCATTTTTATGTTGGTTTAAATGTTAATGATTAAAAATGATTAATTATAATATAACCCATGCAATTGTAAACATTATTATTATTATTATTATATAGTTAGTGATGTCAAATACAAAAAAAAATTGTTATGGGGTTAAGTATTATCAAATATGGATAAACAAGATATTTTGGGCAATTTTGCTCCTCTATTCAATGGTTTTGTTCTTGAAATATTCTCCTGGAAACATCAGTTCATTTTTCTACATTTCTGTCATTTGGAAATAGTAAAACAGAGTATTAATCTACAGCAAACCCTCCAGAGCCCCTTCGAATAACAGGACAGCAGATTATCCGCTTCAATTCAACACTAATTAACTGCAAATGAGGATTGCCTTTATTTGCGATGCTGAAATAAAGACAAAGACATGAAATGCAAGCAAAAGTATCAATGCACAAAGGCATTTAGTCATGCTTGGATTGTAAAGAGAAGTTCCTTTATGTGGAAAACAAAAAATGTGGAGCTGTGTAGATGACAGCTCTCAGTTCACCAACAGCTGTATTCCTGAAAGAGAGTAAAGGTGCTTATCTCTCTTTTCCCCAGTGAAACTGCTGACACAGATATACATCCAGCACAAGACTTCCCATGGACCCTTGCTCTCTCTAGCACAGAATGTAATGAAAACCAACCGGCCTCAGCAGAAAACATGCTTTGATGTCCACTGGCACTCAGCCCTTTCTCTTTCTGTCTCTCTTTGTGTCTTTCTCCCTCATGGAAACCAAAAGACATTTCTCTGTTTCTGCTTCCATGTCTTTCCTTCTGAGTTCCTTCAGAGGATGTTTGAAAGCCTGACAGCACTGTGCAAACGAAACATTTCATTTATTATAGAACATCAAAACAGCTCAGTGAGAGTCCTAAAGGACAAACACACAGGGAAAGCAAACATATGCACACCATATTTACAAAAATGCAGAGTAAATAAACAGTAGAGCAGCTGAGAATATAGAAAGCAGATGATATTACACAGAAATTAACTGGTCCAATAAGCAGCCTTCACATTTGTAAATATTAATGAAATATTTATTTAAATACACTAACATTGAAAATGTTACAATGAAAGAGGTCTCTTATGCTCACCAATAAATAAAAAAATAAGAAATAATTTAATTATTAAATTTTTTTGTGGAAATCTTGATACATTTTCTTAAGGATTATTTAATGAATATACATTTCAGAAGAACAGCATTTATTTAAAACAATTAAAAAGTTTTTACTGTCACTTTAAATAAATTTAATGCATACTTGCTGAGTAAAAGTGTTATTTTATTTTATGTAAGATTACTGACCCCAAACAAATGCTAACAGAATTAAATATTATGTAACTGTATGTACAATTAATACTTTATTATGCATTATATGTTTAAATGACTAAAGATTTTCAGGTAAAAACTGATGTAATATTTAGTTCATACATTGAGTTGCATTTGAACTTGAAGCTTAATACTGCAGTGCTGTAATACTTAAACTTAATAACTTAATATTGTAAAATTGTAATTTTGTGCCATCAGCTTGTAACACTCCAAAGAGAAAGGAAAACTTGAAATCGCATCATTTGACCCCTTTAATGTCACAACACTAACAACTTTCTTGAAGCTCAAACCGTAGAGCATGGCACTAGCTTGGCCAAAATCATGGGTTTGATGCCCAGAGAATGCATAAACTGTATGTATTAAATACATTGCAAGCTGCTTTAGATAAAAGCATCTGTCAAATGTGTAAATGTTAATGTAAATTCTGCAGCAACGGCCTGGCAACCACCAACAACACACTAGCACACTAGCAACCACTTACGTTTTCTTCAAGAAGAAAAAAAAAAGTTGTATTAATCATAGGTGTCTCAGCATCTGTTTTAATACGGCTGCCAACAACTGGGTTACTTCTATTAACCCAGCAAATGGGCAGCATTATCCAGCGTTACCATGGAAACACTGTCCAATATTCAAGAGATGACTGCTGTTTCACATCATGAAGCAAGAAGAAAAAGAGTATATTTTCACTTGATTGCTTACTAGCTCAACTCAAAAGAGCCATCCACAAGTTCTCTATAGATATGGCTCAGGGTTTATGGCTCATATTTGTCAGTCAGATGATAGTTAATTATAACTAGTTATGGTTAATTATTCATATTTCCCCATGAGCTGATTCGCTACACCATCTGCTTAGAAAAGTAACGGCAGACTCCTCTTAACAAGCTGCATGTTTTGAGGTATCATACATGTCTGTCGCACAGATGAAAACATTAAAAAATAATACATTTGTATTCTCTTATATACAAACACTTTGTATTTTGACACACAGCCCACTCACATTCAATACGTATCTGTTCCATCTCTGACACCTCAGCGATGGACTCCTTCAGGTCCTCTATGAACTTGAGCAGCTCCTCTGCGCTCTGAGCACAGAAATTCAACACCTGCTTCTTATCAGAGCCCGAGCACGGAGACACAATAGTGATGGCATGAGGATAGTCTGAAACAAAAACAGAACAAAAAGAGACACAACAGAAACATGGCATTAGCAAAAATCAAGGTTTAGGTTGTTATTCACTGGCAATCTTCTTCTGAAGATGTGTTCACTTCCGGATTCAAAAATGCTTCATCAACGTCAATGCTGTCATAGCTGGGAAATTGGATGTTATAACCTAAGATGACATATTTTTGATGTATTGATGTGTATTGATGTGAATATGTGCCATCAGGGCTCTGTCACAAAACCATGAATTACACTAGACCGAAGTGACAGAACCCTGACAATATGAGTCATGTTATACTTGTTTGTGTGTATTTTTGTCCTACTTTGAAGCTTGACAGAGATGGTCACTATTAGAAACTGTCACAATGGAAATGTGTGATGATTCTTCAAAAATTTAAATTAGATGAGAGGGTCAGTGAATATTTTAACATTTTTTTAGGTGTTATCTATTCCTTAATCATCTGAGAGTCAATATAACTTTTTTTTTTTTCAAATATAAAGTTTTTTTGTTTTCTTTTGCAATTTTGATAACACGTAAAAAAAAGAATCACATGAATAAACATCTGTAATTACACATATGAACTCAATCTATATTATTCTTTAATGTGAAGTAAATCAGAATATTCAATGAGCGAAAATAATAATAATAATAATAATAATAATATGTCCTTGATTGACCTTGACTCATATTATTGTTTATTAGTATTATTATTTACATGGCCTGTGAAATTATTGTGAAATTGGCAAGATTTTAAAGAGACTGTATTACTTACAACAGGAGCTTCAAACACTACCTAAATTGTTATTTGGCTGTTACTGACCAGTAGCCCACACTGCCCAAGTGATGTTAGCTGAACAGCCATTTGATAAAAGATGCTAGAATGATGTTTTGTTAAACATCAAATAAGTTCTGACTGGGTTTGAAACTTTTTACAATGTTCCAGGTTAAAATAGACCTTTATAATGCATTCTAAACACCCTTATAACACCTTTATGACACAATATCTCATTTATTGCGGTATTTACATTTATAAACCTTACAAATTGTCATCACTAGAGTGACTGGCCACTCAGCAATCATTTAGTGTTGATTTTATTGTCAAATATGTTTGTTTATCTATTGATGTGTGTGTGTGTGTGTGTGTGTGTGTGTGTGTGTGTGTAAAAGTGAAAGAGTGGGAGGAAAAGAGAAATGCTTGTGGCCACCTTAATTGGAAAATGAGAGGCTCCCTGTGATATTCATTTATCATGTGGTTTTATTTTTGTTGGAAGGAAATCAGTGAAGTGGTTGTTTAAAAGGCACATAATTGTCTGGATCTTGTATTACGTTTTTCTTCACTACATAGTAGGTTATCTACACTACCCTTTAAAGCTATATAAACTGAAAAAAAAAAGTTTCTAAACTGAATTTTGCAGTCCATTTTCTCTGTATCTGTTTATAGTTTTAGTGAAACCCAAATCCAAATGCTGTGGGAAATGCTTATATATTTCAGGTTTTTATGATACATTTTTTAGACTAATTGGAAAATGTGCAAAGGCAAATTTGTGCAAAATTATATTATGTTGCTTCTTGCACATTTCACGATACTTTCAAAGTGAAATGTTCAGTGAGTGCCGCTAAAATTGTAAAACATCTCTATTTCCTTCCAAGTAAAGCCAAAATTTCCCAGAAATAATTTGGAGCCAGAATCTGCGCTGTAATGATTGTGAGGTGTACGGAGCCACGGAATCAAAATCCCACCCAAACTCCCGCAAACTCAATCACAAGCACACAATTATGATGCCATACCACGTTTTTAAAGCATCAAATAAACTAACTAAAAGCAAACTTATTAAAAAAAAGAACACTTGAGCATACATCAGCCTGATAAGAACTATGTAAAATGAGAGAAACCATCTCTGGAAAAAAAATTATATTTGAATATAGATTTAGATTTTTTAGTTTTGGCTCATGTCCAATTCGTTTACATGGAGAGGGTGGGGTTTATAACCTACACTGCAGCCAGCCACCAGGGGGTGATCAATATGTTTTGGCTTCACTTTTCTGGGGTGCATTTTCCAAAAGCAACTATGGTTGCAAGTTCTGTCGTTACCAATGGAGTTCAATGGAACAAGTTAGCTAACGATGCTTTTGGGAAACGCTTGCCACTTGGTGGCAATGTTTATGCTGGTTGCTGTACATATCAAAACAGTTTGGAAATTAAATGTCAGGTGAAAATCAATACATATGTAGTTGATTATGTGTTGCAAACTTCAACTATGGTAAAAGTGTTTTGGGGTCATAAGATAGTATTGTGCAAGCAACTGCATGAAAATAAGTCCTCATCAATCAATAATCAATGTTTTGTTTACTGCTGCTAGTATTCATTTTAGCTATAAACTGCAGTGAATTGTATGTATAGGTATGTTTTTGTACAAATATAACTAAAATAAAGGTAGATTTTCAAATGACCCCAGGTTGGATTTACCACAAAAATGGTATGATCTTACATTCGTTTTCAAACAGGTGGAACTGCATGCCCAGTAGCCCCATGGCCTTGCAAAAGGTGTAGGCAGCTGAACTCTTCTTCTTTGGACACAATTTCAAAATCTGTGAAGGAAAGAAATGAAAATGCTAATTAGATTCACTGTCACTGACTAGAGCAAAAGAGTAAAAATAGTAAACACGAGCTCTGATCCAAATCCTAATGAACTGCCTAGCTACCATAGTTACTTCTAAGGCAGCTTACTAACTACAATGGTGCCTTATACATGATTCGGGAGGCTCTACATCGCCACACAACTAGCACTCCTCAAGTCAAACAATTAGGAGAGTTTTATATTAGCATGCTGCTAAGCTAGTTAAAATTACAGTTTTCAATACACTTTAACTCTACTTCCTTGCATTCAAATTGCAATTGTCCATCCTTTTTGCTATATTGAATTCAATCCAGGAATTGAATTCTCAACAGACATTTTCAATTCAATTTTGAATGACACTTACTGTAACCATGCTATCTGTCAGTGTTAGATTGTAAGTGCTTGAGTATACGTGAGAAAAAGAAGGCCACACAGATTAGTGTAGTGTTGAGAGTCTACTTACCAGACTCCCTACTGGTTTACTCAAAATACTACAATATTGAAACTATGTTTCATTCTTCCACAAATCTATGGGAAGCGGGAGACCCTCGTGAAGAAGAATAATCACTGAGCCAACTCATATCTGAACACAATTAATGCCAAAAACTCTCTGAACGAAGTTAGAAAAGCAGTTATGAGAATCGATATTGCCACAAAAACGTAATAATGTGTAATTGCCTGATATTGACTGGATATTTGGATTTTATATATCTCCTTTCATTTCTCAGTTTTCCATTTCATATACAATGTGAAAAGAGTGCTTCATTTCGCAAATGTCATTTGTATTTTTGAAATAGCCTGATTTCACCCAGTTTCACCTATAATTGTAATGGGAAAAGTACGTATTGTGGTTTTCCCTTCCCTTTTTTATGGCCAGATTAACATGAGCTCTTGCAATTATGAGAATAGTTTAATACATTGCGGTGATAGCCTTTCAGTCAGCCTAATGCTCTCCATTAATTATAACAGACATTTAATCTTTGATTAATTTCAAGCGCTGTACTTTGTGGCTTTGACCAAATTATTCGAGCAGTTGTGGGAGAGAGGACTTCATTAGATTTGCTTTCACATAATGGGGACCAACTCTGTAATGCAAAGAGCATGGAAATGGAAGACCAAGTTGAGCGTATTATTCTTTGCATATGGAAGATGTTCACTGTGCATAGTATATGTAAGAACAGTACGGCAGTCAGATATTGGATATTTTTCCATAGATTTCTTGGTTTATGTTATGATTTTTTTATGCCCCTTACTTACATCTGAATGGGTCATCTTTCGTGATTAACAACAATCAATATCAATAAAGGAGAAGAAAATAAAATCGGCATAATGAAACTTGGAGTTACCACAAGTAGGTCGTTGAAGAGGAAGACCTCTCTCTGGTGAGCAGCTTGCTTCTGGGATTTGTTGATGTCAGTCACTTCAAACAGTCGACTGCAGCACACCAGTCTCCTGTGAGGCACTGACAGAACCTGAGGGTGGACACATATAAAATTACTTCTCTAAAAGATACATCTTGAGTGACGTTTCTTCATTTGTTATATCAAATTACATTTAAAACAGTGGTTAAAACTTTTGTCCAACACAATATTCAAAGAAGAATGCTGAAATATTAAATTAACCATGATTCATTGTAACTGGTATGATTCATTGGCCCCCAAGGGTTCCCAAGCCCCCTAATTGAGAAGCACTGATTTAAAATAATGCTGATATTTGTTCCTCATGCTTACAGCACACAGCAACTTCAGAAAATTTCATGAACATTCATAGTGCATGTTTTCTTTAGTTAATTTTAGCAAACATATTAGCTGTGTTCCAAAAGCTAGTGAGCTGCATTGCTGTCTCTCGCTACATGACGATGTCTAAAGCCTGATGCGATTTCAATTTTTCCTTTCTCTTTGGAGTGTTACAAGCTCTTGGTGAATAAAGAAGATCTGTAAAGTTGCAAAGACTAAAGTCTCAAATCCAAAGAGATATTCTTTATAAAAGTTAAGAGTCAGCCACACCTACCTAAACGGCTCGTTCTAACACGCCCCCACATATCTACATCACTATGTGGGAAGATTTGCATAACGCCGCCCAAATGTTCATGCAAAGAAAGAAGGCGTCACTTTTATTCTCGCTGTAGTATTGTTGCCGCCGCCGCCGCCATGTTGTGGATATGCTCTGTGTTTCATTGTGAAAGCGAAACTACTTTGTTTGGCCTTCCAAAAGAGGACGATATCAGCTTTGTCATGCCTAGTGCTGATCCGCGCTGGTCGCTGAGGAAAAACATCAACTTCGCACTGTCAATCGCCAGATCGGCTTTCACCGTGGACGAAGCAGAGTCCAGCCCGGGGTCGTCACATGTGGTTGCCGCAGGCCTCCTTTGTCGAATCCGTCGGGCGCCGCTCGCTTTTGTCATTTCTCTGATCAGAAATGCAGACATGGTTTTATGTTTACGCAGTGCAATACGCAACGCAAAGCGTAAAAACACAGTATAAGTCATTGCAATCAGTACTTATGTCCCCACTGAATGCAACAAATACCTCGTTTGTAATGGGTTTTATTGGTTTTGTCTCGTCGCCCTGGGACACATGGAAACCATAGACTGTATGATGGAAACACAGTATGGTAAGGGGCGTAACATTTCTGTCACATGCTTGAGGTATTCAGCCAATCACAACACACTGGATAGCTGGCCAATCAGAGCACACCTCGCTTTTTCAGACCGATGAGCTTTGTAAAAATCGACGCGTTTCAGAAAGGCGGGGCATAGAGGAGAAACAATAACGTACAGAATGTGGAAAATAATGTGTTTTTTTAACCTTAAACCGCATAAACACATTGCATTACACCAAATACACAAAATAATGTTCTTTTAGCAGCATCATATGACCCCTTTAAAAAGAAAAGAAATAAACTTGTCAAGTTAGCAATGCTTAGAACTCTGTGTGTGCATGAGACGTCTGCACGTTCACTTGATTTTTTACTTATAAAAGTGGAAACAACATTATTTGAAATTATTCGAAATATTTATTTTATTTGTGTACATTCACAATTAAAACAAAACATTGTGCTTTTGTAAAATAAAGGAAACAAACAGGATGCCGCTTTCTCAAGTTCTTTGTGGAGCGTCACATAAATGAACCGAAACTTTGCGTATTGTCACAATTCGGCTACTGCTACTGTGGGGGAACGAGGAATCGAGGACACGTCGGAGTAGATCAACATGGAATCATCTTTATTTAGCTAAACAAGGGAACACAGGAGCAAGACACACATGTAGCAGGGAGAACAGATGTTTAACAGCGGACAAAAAAACTTAGAATGGGAATCACTATAAATGCACAGGACTTGACGAGGGGAAGATGAGACACACCTGGGATCAATGGAAATTAAACATAGGAAACACCTGGGATGAAAGAACTGAATACGCGAGAGGCAGAAACTGGGTCACAGAGCAAAACATACACAAAACACGGAACAGAGTCTGACACATATAGGTTACTACTTGTTGCACAGTTTTTTTTTTCATTTTGTTAATTTATTAATTATTTAAGTAAAAATATATTTCGCATATAGACCTATTTATTCATTTTATATATAGCTTTATTATGTTTTTCTCTGTTCACAGAAGCGCTGCAGGTGCGTGACGTGACCAAATCCTCATGGTCTGTTGCTTATGCTACTTTTTGTGCATGTAAAATTAAGCCCTGGAAAACAAATTTTGGTATTTTAATGGGTCAAAGCCATGTATCAATTCTAATTTAATTTATTTCTAATTTAACATAATCTTGATGGTTAAGAGTTAGGCCTCATAATCCCCTAATGAGTGTCGGTTGTCAGTTAGGAGAAATAACCAAAATGAACATCCCTATTTTCAATACAGTCTAATAAAATTTAATCAGAAAAAAAAATTATATAACAACACCTGCTTATGAATATCCTATTCAAGTAGCCTAGTACAAAAAACAAACAAACAAACAAAAAAAACACTCATGACACTTGTTCAAAAATGTATTTTATGTATACAATTTAATAATAGCATATATAATAAAGTTTTGTTTCAAAGGGATGAGGAACAGATATATAGGTGCAATAAGTTAAATTATGTATGGAAACAGCTCAAGGGCATTTTTTTGTGTGCGATACAACAAAGCCTATGTGACAATATTTTTTTTTTTTTTTAGGGATGACATCATTACACACACCATTTTATTGGTAAAAGGCCAGTTGGATGGAGACAGCAAATTTCGCAAAGTTTTTTTTTTACACTTATTCTATTTGTCGATAACAAAGCACAAAAACTGGAAGGAAACTTGGCTAATATCAGAATCAGCAGGTATCCACATTTGCCCTTCTGCAAACTTGTGTGATGTGACCTGCAAAAACCCCAACAGCAGCAAAGCCAGAAAAGCCCAACCAGGCAGAGGTTGGAAGAAGAACAGAGAGGTGATGAATGAGATGTGAGGGGAAAAGAGAGACCAGAGAGTGTCAGCAACATCTTTATAAACTAAAAAAAAAGTAAGGGTACGATTACAAACAGAACTAGATTTCCACATGTTATTTGCGTCGGTTGAATTCTGCATGAACTGTGGCAGAAATCAAATTTGCTTCGACAATACAATAAAAAAGCCTACTGAAGTACAAAATTATGACATATAAGAAGTTTATTACAAACAGTTCAATACAGAAATCGCACTTGTGAGAACATAAGCCTGCAAAGTTAATTGAAAGTGTAAGGAGACTTTTACTATTACATTTACCGAAGAGTAAGCTGCAAGTTTCTTGAAACTGCAAAGGTTTCCTATTCAAAGACATTGGAGTTCATTAAGAAGAATGAATGGTATTATATTTCTATTTTAATCAGCTTTTGTTTTGGATAACTTTCAAATCCTGTCTTTCAAAGCTGTTTGCTTTTCAGTCCAAGGTGAATAAATATTACTACTGGCTATGCGAGAGTGAAACATTTTTGTAAGCCAGGTAGAGTTATGCTGGAGGTGAATGTGAAACGATTTCACTAAATCAAAGTCCTTGAAAGTTCTATGACTGCTATAGTTGCTAAGCACTAGAAAAATACTGCATTGCAGCAAATAGAGAACATCTTCAGTAGCAGAACCTTGAGGGATACTGACTAGCAACAGAAGACCTTTCATTCTTCATTGATTTGCTTATATAGTATAGAAATCTGTTTGCCAGAATTAAAAACATCTAGTAAAATGGTTTCAAATAAACATTTGTCATTGAGTGACTGATGAGCGATAGGGCCTCATTCATAATCGAGTTCTAATGAACAGTTTCTAGAGGACAAATTCCAGCTGATCACTCAAACTACACACACACAATGCATTTACTGCACCCATTTGTGGATTAAGGCATTGTCCTCTACCAGACATTATGAGAACAAAACAATAAAGCCATTCAAATACTTTTTAATGACAGCGGCAGGTGTTCTCATAAATCTGAGATAAAAAAATAGAGAGATAAATCTGAGCAGAGGGATGGCGTGATAATGGAGTATAAATGATCTATATTGAAATAACTTATTTTTTTTATCTAAAAATTGGTGAACACATAAGAAATAGGACAGAAAAATTTAAATAAATAAATAAAATAAATAATAATAATAATAATGACAAAATATGTGATAAGGACTATGTAGAGGAAGCTCCTTCTAATCTACACTATTGTTACGAATCAAGCCTCTGTGGCTCCATCCGATTGCCACCAGAGGGCACCGTCACCTGAATACTAATCCCTTCACAAACTTAATTTCCCAACATCCCGTGCCTGGAGTTGATTACCCACGCACCCTGTGGACTATTTAGGCAGTTCTCACTCACACCTCTTTGTAAAGTTTTGTTCTTGCCCTGGCTTACAATTCTGAGTGTTTCTTTCAGTGTACTGTTTTCTTGTGTATGAGTTTGGACTGTTTATCTTGTTATGATTCCTTGCTGCCTGCCTTTGTTTCAATGCTAAGTTTGACTGGATTACTGAATATCTTGGTCTCAGGAAGTCTCTAATTCCTTTTGGAGCTGAAGGAACGTTTCACCTCTGCCCCAATCTTGCATCATCCTGACCCTGAACGAGAATTTGTTCTAGAAATTGACGCATCAAGTACTGGTATCGGGGCAGTCCTCTCCCAGCGACATGGAACTCCACCCAAGTTATCTCCTTATGCTTACTTCTCCCAAAAACACAATCCAGCAGAGCAGAATTATGATGCGGGTAACCGTGAACTGCTGACCATGAAGGTAGCTTTTGAGGAGTGGCGCCATTGGCTGGAAAGAACAAAATACCCCTTTCCTGTACTTACAGACCATCGAAATCTGGAGTATCTACATTTTGACTTAACCCAAGGCAAACCCAGTGGACACTGTTCTTTTAATTTCTCAATTTCACTGTGACCTATCGACCCGGTTCCAAGAACAGCCAAGGCAGACGCTCTTTCCAGGGAGCACAACTTTTCCTTACACCCTCCTTCCAACGAGCCTATAATTTCACCAACCCTCGTTTTAGCACCAGTATAGTGGGACATAATAACAGATCTCTGATGTGCAGGGCACTGAACCTTCACCGCCAGACTGTCCCCAAAATCAAACCTATGTGCCGTCCTCTCTTCGTCAGAAAGTCATTCAGATATTCAGTCACCTAGCTCAGGGTGTCCTGGCATCAATGCCACAATTCAACTCCTCAACAACCAGTTATGGTGGCTCTCACTGCAATCTATCACAATCACCTTTATCCAGAACTGCTCCACCTGCCAGATGTCTAAATCTTCCCATCAAGTTCCTGCAGGCCTACTGCAGCCACTTCCCATTACACAGTGTCCCTGGTCTCACATACAGTAGCAATTGATTTTGTCATTGACCTCCCCAGCTCTCAGGGCCACACCACCATCCTCACTGCAATCGATCGCTTCTCCAAGGCATGCTGCTTTATACCGCTACCCAAGTAGCCCTCGCCCTTTGAAACTGCAGAAGAGCTTTGTAACTTTGTATTTCAATTCTATGAACTCCCTAAAGACATTGTATAAGACCGTGATCCGCAGTTCACTTCACGTTTGTGGTCAGCCTTTTTCCAAAAGCTAAATGTTAATATCAGCCTAACTTCTGGATATCACCCACTTGTTCTACAGTCAAGTAGAACATCTCAATCAAGAACTAACACATTTTCTTTAGAATCTACTGTCACAGAAATCAAACAGACTGAAGTTTCTATTTGCTTTGGGCAGAGCATGCACAGAACTCCATCCGTAAACCCTCCACCGGCCTTAATCCATTTCAATGTCTTCTCGGCGATCAACCCCCTCTACTTCCCTGGTCAGGAGAACCCACTGAAATTTCTGCAGTGAATGACTGGTTGCAACGAAGTGAGGACACTTGGAATGTGGCACATGTGCATTTACAGAGAGCCGTCAGATGTCAGAAGGAACAGGCAGACCACTCTCGCCGACCTCACCCCAGCTACCACCCAGGAAAGGACCATGGGTCCTTTCAAAACAGTCAGACAGATAACTCCAGTTTCATACTGTTTAGCTCTACTATCCCATTATTGTATCTCACCCACTTTTCATGTATTTTTGCTCAAGTCTGCAGGTGGTTTGAGAGCAGGGGAGAACCTAGAGGAGGCTGGTAACCAGGGACATCCACCCATCATCGTGGATGGCGAGGAGGCTTACCAGGTGCATGAAATCCTTGACTCCAGATACCGGGGCAGAACTCTGCAATATCTTGTAGACTGGGAGGAGTACAGTCCAGAGGAACAATCCTGGGTCAAATCAGAGGACATCCTGGACCCTTCGCTCACAGACAATTTTCATAGGACTCATCCGGATAAACTGGTCCCTCGCCCTCGTGGTAGACCCCAATGTCGTTTGCCTCCTCGCTTCAGGAGCCGCTCGCAGGGTGGGGGTTCTGTTATGAATCAAGCGTCTGTGGCTCCATCCAATTGCCACCAGAGGGCACCATCACCTGAGTACTAATCCCTTTACGAACATCATTTCCCATCATCCCGTGCCTGGTATTGATCACCCACGCACCTGTTGATTATCCGGTGTACTATTTAAGCAGGTCTCACTCACACCTCTTTGCAAAGTTTTGTTCTTGCCCTGGCTAACAATTCTGAGCATTTCTTTCCGTGAACTATTTTCCTGTGTATGAGCTTGGACTGTTTATCTTGTTACAATTCCTTGCTGCCTGCCTTCACTGCCTAGTTTGACTGAATTACTGCTGTTTTGTTTGCTGCCTGCCCTGACCCTTCGCCTCTTGTGACTACGAAGCATGTGTATATCTGTTGCCGGTGATCAACCTTGGCCTGTTTGTTCTATGAGACCCTTTTATAATTAAGCCGCAAATGGATCACAATTCAGTTGACTGGGGTTGTTACAACTAAAATTATCTACAGCCAATATAGGGACAATGCAATTTTAAATATGATATAATGTATAATTCAAACAGAAACATATTTTTTTCTGACACACAAACAATGTGAGTTTCTGAATGAATGAACAATTAAGGTGAAATCACTAAATATATACTGAAAAATTCCAGTAACTCAAAAACAGTGATAAACAGGAGCTACACTATTAATTAATTAATTAATTAATTACGTTGCTACTTTTGGTTATTTTTCTTTTGACAGTTACAAATGTGGAACACAAAAAAAGCAATATCACAGACTGAGAATCAAATTGCAAAGAGAAAATTAGTTATGGGTTCTGAGCAGGCTGATTTTACAGGATTTACCAATAGAAAAAAAATCATGAACACACACTCAATGCCATGCCAGTGAATTATGCTGAGTTTTACTTATTATGTAAAGTGCTTTAGGCACATTTATCAAACTTTAGCCATAAAGTGCTTATGGGCTACAAGACCAGCATTATTAGCTACAGCAGGTAAGGAGTCTACAAAAAAATAACTTATTATTTACTAATTTACTTGATGGACAAAACTGTGCAAGACATTAATTTTTTTTTTTTCAGATAATATATCTTGAATTTAATTTATTTTTCGTACCAAATAGGAAAATAATGTCTATAAATTTGTATTTTAAACATAAGTCTAACATATTTTAGAAGAAAAAAGTACAACAACTGCACTTAGGTCAAGGATATATCTTCTGAAATATAGAAAAATGCTCTAAAATCTTAATATATACTTTTACACCTCAAGTAAACTGAGCTTTTTACTGGCAAAAAAAGTACAAAAATAGTGATTCATTTTGCAGTGTGGGTGGGAAATGTAGCAGTAAGGGGTAAATCTGAGGTAAGATTATGAATGAAAAAAACTATGAGGTTGTTCAGTGCTGCTGTTCTTCTGTTGCAATAATGAGGAATGGCAGCAATGCTACAGGCGTGAGCCGCAATGAATCACCAACTGCCCAATGAATTATTATATTACGCCACTCCATGCATGCAGCGTTTAGAGATGGTAGAGGTGAAATAGCAGAACACCTATGTTATAAAGATACAGTATATTCATATTGAAATGGTCTCTATTTGGTATACTGAATGGGTATTACATAAATAAATTCAGTTATGACTGAGAAATAATTGCACAACTCTGACAGTTTAGCTTATTGTGACAGTTTAAGAGTCATGTAGAATATATTTGGATGCAGTATGACATGGATATTAGCTGTAAAGAAAACCTCAAAATGTTTAACTCACCGTTTTCATTCCCACAATGCTTTGCTCCACCTTTGAGACATAAGTGACATGGTCTTCATTCGATCGTAATTCCCTCAGTTGAATACGCTCATATATTCCCACTACCATATCCCGTGGAATATCTGCACCATCGTCAACCCCTAAATAAAAACACATCAGAAGTGTATATACATAATACATAAATGTCATATCAAACATTAAAATGATCACACAGTCCTATTGTATTACTTTCATATCCTCCATTGGTCAACAGCCTTTAACACACAATGTTACCTTTTTTTTAAACAGCTTTTGATTGATTTACACTAAGCCCAATTGTAGCCAAATATCACTAAACAAAATTTATTGCGTGAATTTTTCTTCATAGAAAGTGATTTATCTAACAACTAGGCTAGATCTGCATTACGAACATAATATGCAACAAAGCAGATCAAGTCTAATGAAATTTAGGGAGATTCGAGGATACAATAAAACATCAGAGGATGTTATGCAAAACCAGATGAGGAGATAGATGAATATGAAATATAAATGTTTTCCCTTACACTGTGGGAGAGGGTTGAATGGTACGGGGGATTGTGGGATTGACAGCAGAGTGAAGCCAGTGGTGAGAGTGTCAAAAAAATTTGAAAGATTTGGCTTTATGCAAATGAGAGACAAAATATGCAAAGCTAGAGCCAATTACTGTAAGGTGCAGGCAGCAAATGCAGTTTAGATTATATCAAAATATTGTAATATAGGTAACACTTTACAATAAGGTCCCATCAGTTAATGTTATTTAATGTGCATTAACCAACAATAAGAAATATATTAGTTCATTTTAAAGTAATGTGGTTATCCAATGATGTCAACAAATGGAACCATATTATAAAGTGTTACTGTTATATTGTTTGTTTTATGTTTCTTCGGATTTCTCCGGTCTCTGATCTTTTTTTACAGGGAAAAAGTTGACATTTTATGAGTTTAGAGACAAAAGTACAGCAATGCAGGGAGCCACAGTATACGTACAGAGAGTTTCTGTATCACAGAGTAATGAAAATGAAAGTTTACACTGTGAGATTAACAGTGTGCTGATGTCACTGGCTGTTTTCATTAAATGAATGTGCTTTAGGGTGCTTTCAATAGCATTATACTTTGATGCTTAATTAGGTTTCGCCCACTCACTCAAGTGAAATGATCCTGAATTTACTGAAGGAAAGGCAGCAAAGGGATAGTGTTAGTTTTGTTAATGCTTAAATGCTGCTTGAGAGCTGCTTTGTCATGACACTCGACAACAGCAAACCATGAGAAAAAAAAAAAAAGAAAAAAAAACTTGTGAAGAAAGTTCACTTCAGAAACTTTGTGTTTGGTTGTCCCTTGATAAATTTCAATAAATTCAGTCTCCCCTTAAGCACTTTCCTTTTCTATTTCTTCCTGTCTCACCTCTTAGGTTGCGGATGAAGTCTTCCAGCATCATCTTCCGGTCGGGTTTGATGTTGGGACTGTACATGTCCGTGTTGAGGAGGATGATGGCAAACGCAAGGATGAAGATTGTATCAGGATTGTGGAACTGCTGCACCACGTCTGGGTTACACATACAGTAACGCTGGCTGAGAAAAACAGGATGCAACAAAGAGACACACAACCAAAGAGAAACCTATGTTTATTTAGCACATTGTCATAAATGGAACCTTCTATTGCTTATCTTTCATAGACATTAATCATTTGTAAATGTGATGGTACTTGTTTAAAAACAGCTTATTAAAAGTGTTGTTTTCTATTCATTCATTCATGCATTTAAAAATGTCCCTACTACCTGATAGGTACTGCTGAAATAATAATAATAAAAAATCTAAATAAAAAATAATAAGGTCATAACAGTCCAAATGTTTTATTAAGATAATTGTCAATTAACTAATTGCAAATTATTTATAATTTATAGATGTGTTACCTTTAGTCTGTATCATCTATTATCTATCATCTCTCCTGTAATAACTTGTACAAGATGGCAAATATGTGGAATGTATTTAAAATGGTCAAATATAAAGTCATTACAGGATATACATTCATTGTTATTTGTCTTAAAATTGTTGAATTTTTACATTTTCTAAGGAAAATGCAAGTGGTGCCTGTCATGCATACTTGTTACCACAATGTTATAGGGTATTGTGGGAGGTTTTCAGGAACTGGTTGCTAAGATGTTGCTATATGGTTGTTCACTGGCTTAAGTCAAATGATGCCACTATTCTAGGACTGGCTCTGTCCTTTAATGTAAGTCAGAGGGGGATTTTTCTCTTTGTTTTATCGAATGCCATGTGAAAATCCCGAGTTAAATCACTTAGATAACACTTGCAAGTAATTTATTGCAGATTGTGTTTCGTGGGACTCTTAACCCATTGCTCTGCATTACAAGTACCAGCTGTACCAGGTGGGCTACTGAGCAAGTTTACTATGCTAGAAAAGTCATACATATCGAGATGGTTATGTAAAGCACACATTAAAATGTATTAATTTACAAATCATGCACTATGATAAAAATGTTTTGAGGTCATAACATAGTATTGTGCAATAAACCATGCAAAAATAAGTCTTTATTAATCAATAATATGCCCCGTAATCATAATTTCTGTTTTACTACCCCTAATGTTCATTTCAGCTGGATACTGCAGTGAATTATACTTATAAGTACATTTTTCTGTACATTTTACAAAAATGTATGAAGAAGCACTTTTTTTCCCCCAATGAGCTTATGTTGCATTTATGTCTGTAGGACAATGGTGCAAGATGAGTGGTTCACAGAAGTTTAGCGTTTCAAGTTTGTTGAAAACTATTAGCAATAGTAATAGTGATGCTTACTAAGCATCACTAGAGGTCGACCGATTGATCGGCCGGCCGATTAATCGGACGATTTTTGCCATTTTTAAATTAATCGGCATCGGCCGATTGTGCTGCAAATTAGGCCGATTTATAGGCAGGCGCATCTGCGGGCAACTAAGCATTGTTGCGGAACACCAGATAATCTCTCTCTGGATGCGTGAGAGACGGAGCAGCTCACACTCTGCAACTGCTTAGTGTCCAAACACAGCTTCAGCTAATGGCAGGGCAAAACAGACCATTTTGAAAGCGTAATTATGTTTTACTCTACTAGAATTGATGAAGGAAAGTTATCATATTCATAAGTGCAACAAGTCATTTGCATGTGAAAGTAGAAACATACAGTTCAGACGAAACATCTGGGCTGATTATAACGTGCACGTTAACTTTCCTCATGAAATGTGTGTGTAGGTCCGACAATAGCATCCACGATGTCATCGCTCGTGGCCAGTGCACTCTTAAGCAGTTATGAGCAGCAGGCTGTGTAATATGTGTGAAATCTTTTATTTTTGTTATCACTATGGCCATATGACTTATAGCAGTGTCCAGTGTTTCCCATACCAGTTTCCCATTCCCATACCAGTATAGCCGGGTAACGGCTATATCTCGGCTCTAACAGCGCCACCTGCTGGCAGAGAATGAATTTCCATTTGCAAGTCTGTGGGAAACACTGGTGTCTGTCAGCAAACACAAACAAAAAGCATGCTTCAGAACTGTTTTGAGAAGGTGCTTAAGTTTTGAGCTATGTATTATTACTCTGAATTAGGCTACTACTACTATTACTATCTTGTACCCTGCAATAATCATTTACTCAAAACTCACTTTTATGAGATGAAGGGGGAAAAAAAAGGAAAATCAGTCAAACATATATCGGGCCAAAAAAATCGGCATCATATATCGGCCATCGGCTGCCCTGATTTTTTAATATCGGCATCGGCCAGTGAAAAATCCATATCGGTCGACCTCTAAGCATCACCACTAATGATGAATGGCTTTTATTCATTAAGATATTATTATTTATGAATGTTATATTTCCCATCCATTTACCCCTTCTCTCACTCTTTTTTTTTAGGTTTGGGAAATATCAAAGGCAATGCAGGAGAGACAGCCGGGAACAGGCTGGATTGTGTTATGCAACCACAGTTATTTATAAACCAGTGTCTCGCACACACACAACAGCATAAGGATCATCAGCAGTCTTGTTATTTCTATTGCTGAAAACAAAAGCACATTTGGCTATCACCCTAGAAACGCACATAGCTGCAACTGCATTAAGATTCAGAATAGGAATAAGAGCCTCTGCTGCATATGAATGGAAAGTATTTGTTTTAGCAAGATGATTATTTGGATTATCAGACCATTGTCAAGTAAACCCACACTAGCATTTGTGCTATAGGAGAAATATTCTACACTTGCACAGGTCAAAGTGATATCACCTAAACATTGTATAATGTAAACTAAAACAACAACAACAACAACAAAAAAGATATTTAAAATAGTTTTCATACATTGAAATAAATAATATATAAATATTATATTAAATTTTTTTTTTGTTTTATTTAAAATTACATTTTAATCAAATCTAAAGGTTAAATTGAATTACTAATATTGCTAAAAACTAAAATCAAAATAAATTAAATATACATAGAAACTCAAATGAAAACAAATAATAGAAATTAACAGAATATAATTTCATATGTATGCATACAATATATGAAAATATAAAAATAAAAGATCAAACAAAACATTTTGGAAGAAAAAAAATAGTAAAGAATTCTAACGAGTCTTTAAATAAAACAATTTAAAAATAATATTCTATGTGCATTTATGAGATAAAATATAAATTAAGTGTAACAGTTTATTTCCTTTAATTTATCATCACTTTTTTTTTTGCCTTCACTAGTGCATTTAAAATGTTCCTGCAGTGTAACAAACAATAAAAGTACAAATATTTAGTTTCTCAGTTTATATGAGAAACGTTTAAAGTTTATTATGTTACACTGCATATAAATTTCCCAAAAATGTTTCATGTCAACTACCCAACTGCTTTTCAAATTAAACCTTCAATGTAATACAGCGCTGTAGAATGCGATTGATTTATGGAAAGCATTCAGCTTGCCTTTTAATCCTTCAGTGCAGGGATGAAAAAGTTCAAAAGCACAGGTATCCCATCAGCCCCGGCTCTTATCTTCCCCTCACATATGAAGGTGGCTGGATCATTTATATGTGTGTGTGTAGCAATGTCTGGAGTCTCACCTGAATGCCTCTATCAGTCTCTCCACTTTTTGCGCTTCGCCTTGCACACGGATATGAGCCTGAAACTTCCTCAGAGCCTCATCCAACTCCATCCCCGAGAAATCCATCTCATCCACCACACAGCTATCAAAAAGAAGGAACAGGCAGAAAATGAGTGAGGGAAAAAAAAGTGTGTAAGAAAAACAAGGTATTAAGCAGACACGTAAGATGAAAGCTCACATGGCCCCCAGACTGGGGCCAGCTCTACGGTCAGTGGTTATTTGAGGTTTAGCGCAGACTTCTGTGAAACTGTAGGGGGAGGTCCTTTGATGAAATGCTGGAATGTCACATACTTTATAATAATTTAATTGGACTATTTTTTTAAATATAATAATTAAAAAAAAATAATTCCTTGATAATTTTGTTAAAACTGTCCCAGTTGTAAAATACCGTTCAAATTTTGGGGTAAGTCATTTTATACTTTTATCCATCAAGGATGTGTTAAATAGATCAAGAGTGACAGTAAAAACATTTATATCATAACAAAAGATTTCTGTGAAATAATGTTGCTTTTTGACATTTCTATGCATCACGTTTCCACAAAAACACTGTGCAGCACAACTCTTGTCAACATTGATAATGATAAGAACCATTATTAATAATTGAGATCCAATAAGAGCATATCAGCCAAATCAGCATATTTGAATGATTTCTGAAGGATCATGTGGCACTGAAGACTGGAGTAATGGCTGCTGAAAAATCAGTGTTGCATCACAATAATTTATTACATTTTAAAATATATTAAATAGAAAACAGTTGAATTGTAGTAATACAGGTGCAACTCAATAAATTAGAATGTCGTGGAAAAGTTCATTTATTTCAGTAATTCAACTCAAATTGTGAAACTCGTGTATTAAATAAATTCAATGCGCATAGACTGAAATAGTTTAAGTCTTTGGTTCTTTTAATTGTGATGATTTTGGCTCACATTTAACAAAAACCCACCAATTCACTATCTCAATCCATTTTGTTTTTTGAAAACCAACGTCACTGCACCCGTTTACCTAGAAATTTTGGAGCACTTCATGCTTCTTTCTGCTGACCAGCTTTTTGAAGATGCTGATTTAATTTTCCAGCAGGATTTGGCACCTGCCCACACTGCCAAAAGCACCAAAAGTTGGTTAAATGACCATGGTGTTGGTGTGCTTGACTGGCCAGCAAACTCACCAGACCTGAACTCTATGGGGTATTGTCAAGAGGAAAATTAGAATCAAGAGACCAAAAAATGCAGATGAGCTGAAGGCCACTGTCAAAGAAACCTGGGCTTCCATACCACCTCAGCAGTGCCACAAACTGATCACCTCCATGCCACGCCGAATTGAGGCAGTAATTAAAGCAAAAGGAGCCCCTACCAAGTATTGAGTACATGTACAGTAGATGAACATACTTTCCAGAAGGCCAACAATTCACTAAAAAAAAATGTTTTATTGGTCTTACGAAGTATTCTAATTTGTTGAGATAGTGAATTGGTGGATTTTTGTTAAATGTGAGCCAAAATCAGCACAATTAAAAGAACCAAAGACTTAAACTACTTCAGTCTGTGTGCACTGAATTTATTTAATACACGAGTTTCACAATTTGAGTTGAATTACTGAAATAAATGAACTTTTCCAGGACATTCTAATTTATTGAGATGCACCTGTATTTCACAATATTACTGTTTTTACTGTAATTCTGATTACTAAAATGCAGCCTTGGTGAGACTTCTTACAAAAAAAATTTTTTAAATCTTATTTATTGACATATTAGTTAAAACGTCCCAGTAACCTCACTCTCAGAATTAGAATTTGTAAATTCTTTAAAATGAGTCAGTTAAAAAAAGGTAAGCATGCATGCTTTCAAAATCAGTTGCTGGATTCGACAAAATTCTTTGTCAGAATTCAGAGAATTTTGTCATAGCTATCCAATACTTATAATATCTAATTCTTATAATATCTAATGGAGCACTGATCAAAAAGACAGCAAATAGCTTCCTCAAATTCATTTGCAGGATGGAAGGCTCTGCATTAATTAAAATTCATGTTTGATTTCACTCTGCTTCAGCAAAAAGTACAATATGCAACTATTTTTTTGTATGTCAATAGCCAAAAGCATGGATTTTATTAGTGATGTTAGTGACTATTTTATTAGTGACGCATGAAATCTTTAAGGTTTATTTCAAATGAATGCACTAAACTGCTTTTAAAAGGAATAATTCATACAAAATGTATGCAATTTATTTCAGTGCCATTGCTTCAGCCTTCAGTGTCACATTATCCTTCAGAAATCCTTCTAATAAGCTGATTTGGTAATATTGGTAATATATGCATATATTTTTAATATCTTCCTGACCCCAAACTTTTGAACAGTAGTGTAGATTTCTGTCAGCATGAGATTAATAACCACTTTTGCAAAATTACTTTCACAAAAATAACTGGAAATTTAGCACATGAGTTAGTCTGGACGACTTTTATGTAACTTTTGTGGTGCTTCTTCGATATTGGTATTATTTCTTTATCATGTAGGTTTGAAATTGCATAAATGATGGCAGAATTTTATTTTTTTGGGGTATGAACTATTCCCTTAATGGAAAACAAAGTTCACGGCCTGAAAAGTCCAACTGTAGCTTCACTCCACAAGACAAATTCAGAACCATGTAAATGTTTATTTGTTCAAATTTAAGTGGTCTGTATGAAGGCAATAAATAATTGATAATTATTTTTACTTCCACCAATTTTTGCATGTTTGTTATACTAAGCTGCCAGCTGGAAAGAACATTATTTTGTGTATTTGGTGTAATTAAATGTGTTTATGCGGTTTAAAGTAAAAAAACATTATTTTCCACATACTGTACATTATTGTTTCTCCTCTATGCCCCGCCTTTTTGAAACAAAGCTCATCGGTCTAAAAAGTGAGGTGTGCTGTGATTGGCCAGCTATCCAGTGTGTTGTGATTGGCCGAATACCTCAAGCGTGTGACGGAAATGTTACGCCCCTCACCATACTGTTGATGCCGTGTCCGGCCGGAGCGACGAGACAAAAACATTAAAACCCATCACAAACGAGGCATTTGTTGCATCCAGTGGGGACATAATTACTGATTATAATGACTTATACTGTCTTTTTACGCGTTGCATCGCACCACGTAAACATAAAACCCTGTCTGCATTTGTAATCGGAGAAATGACAAACAACAAGTGCTACTCTACACTGCCCAAAACTCACGTTTGAATCATTAGTGGCAAATCCTTTAAATGAAAACGTACTTACAGACTGTGAGTCAGAACAGCC